TGGCTATTCCAGTTCAAACCTCCCTATAAATGCGGAACACTCCCTTTAAGCTCATCTCGACCCACGGTCTTCAACACTAATGAGACCCCTTACTTCTTTCCCACCAAGAGGATTTCTTGAGCGGAACACTAGGGGTACATTTTTGTTCCCGGTCATGAGATAGGGGCCATTTCGTTACACCGCGGGGCGTCTCCCGGCCGCCATTCTGCCTTCTGCCATTCTTAACAAAAGGCTGTCAAATGATTTGCGCATAGACTCTAGTTCGGCTTAACGGGCCCAGGCTGGAAATGGGTTGGAGGGCCCGCCGTTCGGTACTGGGGGCCGTGACTGGCACAGGACCCTTGCATTGTCTCAATGTGAACACCAATAAATTCAAATATTTCCTCCCATTGTCAGAGGCTCTCGTCCAACGCAAGAGGTCCTCTGTCATTAGTGGTCCCGACCCAGTCCACGTTGAGCAAATGTTTCCCTGACCAACCCGAGTCCCCTTGTTGACACAGCACACCGTGTGAGGCACTGGGCCCCTGACCAATACAGAGACCCCGGATTATGGCAGGGGCCCTCGAACAATGCAAATCACGGACCCGGTCTTGTACCTGCTTGGTAAATGGGCCCCCAAGAGTTTAGATCGACACAGGACCGACTGTTCGGTGCTGGTGATCTCTGGCCGAAATAGAGAAACTCTCTGTCTCTGGGGTCCCAATCGGTGCTACAGACCGTCTGACATTTAAGATTACGGTCCAACGGGCGGGGTCCTTAATGTGACCTACATCCAGCCCTCCGGGCAGGGGCGCACCCAGGATTTCGTCAAGGGGGACACGCGACATTGTGGGGCCCCCTCAAGTTTGGGGCCCCCTCCAAGGCCCTGTTATTACTGAGTACAACATATCCTAACATTCGAGATATGTTAAGAGCGTGATGTACTAGTATAACAAGTGTCACAAACTCAAAAGCAAATGAAAATGGCACATGCAACGTCGGCGGCATGTAAAATCACGTTCTGCAATTGCACGTAAAAATTCATCGGCGCATTTTCGACCGCTGCTCTGAGGCGAAGGCACCAAGGCCAATAGGGACGAAACCTGAGCGATCATGGGTGCCGCAGGAGGCCAACAAAGTGACTCCCGTCAACAAGTATAGCGCCCGCAGAGCAAGCAAACAGAACCCAAGACCAACGTGGGGGCCCATAAACGACCGGTAGTGCCTCGGCAGACTGACAAATAACGCCCCGGCCAGAGCGCAGAACCCTCCGAGCGAAGGGGAATTATCGAAAATCATAAATTAATACCCCTGTATGATCAAGAGTGCGCAGGGTGGGGGGGGGGGGGGGGGGAGTAACAATATGAGCCTCGATAGGAGTGAGGAGTCCTCCGCAAATGAGACAGCCCTCGATCAAAGAAGATGGCCCCTGAGCATTGAGTGTCTCCGTACCTTACCTTATAAAAGCCCTGGAAGCGGCACAAGGCCCTCCAAGCAAGTAGGAAAAGCCCGGAGCTTAAATGAAGGGCCCCTGAGCAACTGAGTGTACCCTGACATATGGGGCCTGGAAAAAGCGTAAAGAGCCTTTTGGGCGAATGGTGGGAATCCGTGGAGGAAAACTGGATCAATCAACAGTACTCAGGCATGGAGGCCGATGGCGTCCCAACAGCACATTGGGCACTACGATAAAATGCAAAGATATCGAGGGCAACGTGGAAAGCTACTTAGCGATCAGATTAACCCAGCAAGTGGACATATGGAGCCAGGCAACCAACAGCATAATGGCTCTAGACAGTGTAATGGGCTCCAAAATTTCCCCCGAGCAACACTTTCAATCAGCAAAAAATGAACTTGGCCTGCTTATGAACTCTTTACTTTGGCTAGCAATTGTTCTTGGCCGTCTGTAGGCCCAAAGACTTTCAATTTTGTAGAAAGAAAACTGCGTCCATCCGGTCAGTTATGGGCCCGTTCAGAGCCTTTAGGTTCCGTCGGTTTGGTCCATGGGACATGGCCCCGAGCCTCCCCTCCTTCCCCCCCCCCCCCCCTGCATCCGCAACCGGCGCGAGCAGCTTAATAGATGGGCCCGCCAAGAGCATAGGGCCACCCATTCAAAAAAGAAATACTCACGACACAATGTGTAGGGCACTGGGCGACCGTGTGCGCCCGAGCAAGTTAACATAAAGGGGCCCCCACCAGGAGCGTAGGGCCCTCCATTCAAATAGGAAGTACACAAACCCGATGCAGAGGGCCTCCGAATGATCGCGTGTGCCCAAGCGGGTTAACCGATAAGGTTCCCAAAAAGAGTGTAGGCCCCTCCGTTCAAATAGGAAGTACTCAAGACCCAAGGCAGTGAAACCCCGAATCATCCAGTGCGTCAGAGCAGGTTTAACACATAGGGCCACCGTCAAATGCGTAGGGCCCTCCATTCAAACAGGAAGCACCCAAAACCCAATGCGGAGGGGCTCCAAAAAGGAATATACCCGAGCAGATTGTCAGGTGGCCCAGACAGGAGTGCAGCGCCCTAAATTCAAACACCAAGACCCAATGTACAGGGCCCCCGGACAATTCAGTGTGGCCGAAGCGGCGAACAGATGAGGTTCTCGACAAGTATGTAGGGCCCACCATTCGGATAGAAAGTGCCCAGGACACCATGTAGAGGGCCCCAAATAATCGAGTGCGCCAGAGCAGGTTAACAGATAGGGCCCCCGAAAAGCGCGGAGGGATCTCCATTCAAAAAGGAAGTACCCAAAACCACATGTAGAGGTCCCCCACAATCGAATGGGCCCGAGCATCTTATCAGAAGGGGCCCCGACAGGAGCGTAAGGTCCTCCATTCAAATAAAAAGTACCCAAAAACCCGGTGCGGAGGGCCCCGAAAGATGGAGTGTACCCGAACAGGTGATCAGATGACCCCGATAGGAGCGAAGGATCCTGAATTCAATCGCCAGGAACCAATGTGCAGGGCCCCCGAGCAATCCACTGAGGCCGAGGAGGCGAACAGAGGGTTCCCCGACAAGTGCGTAGGGCCCTATTCAAATAGCACGAGCCCAAGGCCCAATGCAGAGGGCCCCGAACGATCGAATGTGCCCGAGCAGGTTATCAGATGGGCCCTCCCCCCAAAGGCGTAGGGGCCCCACATTAAGAAAAGAAGTACTCAAAACCCAGTGTGAAGGGTCCCCCGAACGACTGGTGTGCCCAAGCAGGCCATCAGATGAGCCCCGACAAGAGTGCAGGGCCCTAAGCAAGTGACAGAGAATTGGAAGCGCCCTAGGCCAATGTGGAGGGCCCATAAGCATATCGCAAGTGTGTCGGTAGGTTAACTGAGACCCACGTAAAGGGCCCCTGAGCAACCAAGAATACTCCGGCAGGTTAAGATGTGATACCCGGGCTATAGCCCACCGAGCTTTTCTAGCGAATGGAAAGAACACGTGAAAGGGTCCGTGACTGACAAGAGTGCCCCGGCCAGCTAGCAGGAAGGGCCCCAACAACAGCGCAGAGCCCCCGAGCAGATGCAAAGAAATAAAGGACAACGTGGAATGCTCCTTAACTCTCGAAACAATCCTGCAAGTGGTCATATAGGTCTCCCAGAAACAGCATGGGGCCCTTGGCAGTGTAATGAGGCTTAAAATTTCAATTTTATAACTTTTTCAACCACTGAATAATTTTTTCGACTTCTCATATGCCCTTCACTTTTGCTTACAACTGTTCTTGGTCGTCTTGAAGTCTAGAGATATCCTCTTTTGTTGCGTTTTGTGTTAAGAAGACTGCACATGTTCGACCGGCAATGGGCCCCCTCGCAGCCAATGGGCCGTTCGGGGCCCCAAGGAGAGGCATGGCCCCGTGCCCCCGCCCCCTCAGGATCCGCCCCTGCCTTCGGGCCCCTCAGCCTTCCAATCGAGCCCTTACTTCATATTCGGTCTCGAGGGCCCTTCAGCCTCTCTTCGGACCTCCTCAAACAAATCCCGCGACAGGCTAGGGGCCACTAGCCGATACATGCCATTCTAATAAGGAGTGTGGGCCGCTGACCGTCACAGGGGTCCAAGCCACTGTTTCAGGGACCCAGAACAATGCAAGTCGTGGCTCTGGCCTTGCTCCTGCCTGGGAAATGGGTCTCCAGGGTTTAAACTGATAGGGAGCCAACTGTCCTGGGCTCGTGGTCTCTGGTCGATCGAGAAACCCGCATTGTCTCCGGGGTGCCCACACGGTGCAAGAGGACGTCTGACTGATACCTTAGGTCACGACCCAACGGGCCGCGATTGCTTATGTGAATTGCCTTTTTTCCTTTATTGCCTTATGCCCTCCAACCAAGCCCTTGATCGCCGGTTTCGCTAAACCACCCAGGCTCCACTGCAGGCCTCATCGGACGGTGCCCTTGGTCGGGTCGGGGCCTCTTGCAAACACAGGATCTTCTGTTAGGCACTACGGGGGCCCGGACCAGTGTAAATTGCTGGGCCCGGCTTTGTAGCTGATTGAGAAGTGGGTCCTGAAACCCAATGCAACACGGGGCCGACTATGCGTAATAATAGTGTCTGACCGACATGCACACCCTTATGAACTCAGGGGACCCTGATCGGCGCGCAGGGCCGTCTCGATGGCACTGAAGGGGTTCCTGGATTTGACCTCCAGTGGGACTTTCGAGGACTTTGGGCCCTCAAATCGGGTCTTTAATTTTAGGCCCAAGGGACCTGAATGACCCCTCGGAACCTAAAAGGGGGGGGGGGGGCACGCGCCCCTGTGTCCCTCTGCCTGCGCTACTGGGTAAAACACAATCTTTGTCATAAAATTCCACGTAATCGGTTCGCCGGTCATATGCATCTTCCGCTAGCGGCTTTTCCACTATATGCACGAATGTTTCGACGTTTCGGTTGCCCGACACTAATATGTCCGGCATTACTTTCAAAGGCTAGCAGCCCGCCGCCTATTGAATTCTCGATACCAATGATGTCACTCAAACGTCATGCGAAGATGGAGCCAGATTCACCGGACGGGTCAAACTCCTTTATGCGACCTTGGATTCGCCGCCCCAGGACGTTTGAGGGCATTTGGGTTGACTTGATTTATTGCAAGTGATTTTGCAGTAGTAGGAACGAGAGCGAGGATAAACGAAAGGAAGCAGAGCCATCTGGCTTGATAATTAGGTAAAAGGTACGCACTTTACTTCTTATTAACTGCGAAGATCAAGTCGCGCTAATCGTAAACAAGCCAGAGGTGGTTCGAGTTCCTGGTTGACATGTATATTTTGAAGAATATGCCGGTCGTCTTCCAGTACACATTTTCATGTTGACAGTTTGCACGAAAATGATGTATTTGTATTTAGGCTGATCGGCACTCGATACCTGTGCAACATTGGGCACTGAACTTTGTGCTTCAGTAATTTGAAGTAAGGCAATCAAAATATTGCCTGAAATTGATGTTTTAACATTTGAGCTCCCTTAAACCTTTGCTATGTGCTGATATTGGTACTGACTGGTACCTGTGTGCCAGACTCAAGTGTGGATTTACATTATATTAGTGTTGAAATTTGCTCATGAATGTCATTGCTATGTCAGATGTTTTGGGTGGTGCATGTATTTTTTCAGTCTGGCATTAGGGTTTGTGTCAAAAGTCTCTCAAAGTGAATACAACTTTGCATTGCATTATGCTAGACTACAAAAAATACACATTTGCCCCATCATGCCAGTGACCTATGATCATGGTGATTGAATTTCAGGGAAATTTTCTCGGAAGACATTTTTCATGAAATGTTTAGATTTGTTGGTTTGAGATTGGTGCACACCAGGCCCAGGCAATGATGGGAGATGGCTGTCCATGCAGTGGATGAATTCTTTGACAGACTGGCCTGTATGCATACCATGGCACAGTTGCTCATCATGTGGGGATGGCAGTGCTGCCTCAGTTTGAGACATGTTGAGGCCGCTTGCAAGCATCTTGAGATGTCTGCTGCAGTTTGCCAGCTAGATCACCAATGCTGATGTTGAAGTGAATGAAACCGCAGAAGCAGGATATCATTTTTGCCAGTGCAGGGCAGGCTAAAAACACAGGCACTCGATCAGCATATCAGTACCTATAACCATGTCTGTATGTGTTTTTATGTCTTGACACTTCTGTCTGACTAAGTCAACCTATTATTAGAATTGGATTAAGGCACCTGGTCCCTAATCAACCCATGACAGAGTATGGATTCAAGTTATCATGCATGTTTGTTGCTTGCTGCCTGATTGGATTGCCCTTTGCTGGTAGGAAAGGTAGCTCAGGGTCAGGTGAAGTCAGGGGCTGGTAGACCTGGTTGGTACAGAGGGCTGGCTGTGATGTTCACTAACCAGACAGCAGAACACCTCAGTGTGCTGCACTCTGATCAGTCAAGATATGGCAGATCATTTGGTCATGCCACAGATGATCAGTCAGTTGCTGTGTGGCAGCGGCAGGCACCTTTAGAGAAGTTGATGCACCTTATGTATATCTGGTTGTCACTGAATGTGCACTTATACTTACATTTCAGTTTTAAGTATTATTTCCAAGGTTTTCAGCTCCTGATGAACTGATTCTGTAATACATAGACTGGATGGCACCATGTTTGTATTTTTCTCACTTAAACCTCAGATTGGTCTAAACATCTATTAAATTGTGGGAAAACCTTATTTCACTCCAGTTAGTGATCATGTACTTCAGTTTACCATTGCTGGTTGCCACAGATTCAAATATTAGCACATTGAGCAGCATATGTTCAGTGCATGACAGTTTCAAAATGGACTGTGCGAGTACAAAACTGATAAAGTTTGGGTTGGTGTGTCCTGGCAATAGACTGGTTGTTAATAATGTTGGTGTATTGGTGGTATGCCATTCAGTTTTATTCAAATGTAACTTTATCTTCAAATGCATGCATGTCTGCCAAGACTGAAAGTATGAAAACTCACATTTCACTCAACCTGGTGTCCACAATTTTGTATCCCGTTCTCATCACTTTGGTCGCAAATGACATTCTGATTTTGCATCTATCTGAGCTGCCTGTGCTGCAGCTGCGAGCTGTCCCTGTTATGAACCGCAGGCCCCTTCTGCTGATGCAGCACGGCAGCCGGTCATGGCCAGCGGCGGTGACGGCGCGGCGGCGGCGGCCGTTGGCGCCGCGCACACCGGCCCCCGGCTCACGCTGGCGCAGCGGGTCGAGGTTATCCAGCAACGGAAACAGCATGCGGCTGCCCTGCCGCGCAACAAGAAGCTTGAAAAGCTGGCTATCTACTCTGCCTGCAAGGTATTACCATGGGAGGAGGCGGGAATGGCAGTGATCTACTCTTGTTTTGGGGTTGGCAGCACCGTACTGTACAGGAACCACAGGCGTCTCTTTGTATGTCAGGTACGATAGACTGCTCTGCCTGCAGTTTGTGTTGCTTGCGTGTTCAAGTGAGAGCCTGCACGCTGCGCCCCCTGTACTAATCGGCGGACCTGCCGCGGTCGCTGCTCGGCCGCGCAGCCGGTGGACGGCTCCGAATGCGGCTGCAACGGCTTCAAGAGCGCCTCCAGCCAGCAGCCGGCCAGGGAGGCGGGCGAGCCGGCGCTGCAGCCGACGGCGCCCTGCCGCACCTGCTCCCACACGCTGGGTATGGACCGGGGTGGGGGGCGATGTCGCCGCCGTCGGCCTGCATCACGCCTGATCACTCACGCCTACACGTTATAGACGAACGCGTGGATCAGTTATGAAATCGTTACATGCGTGAGTGATCCCGGCCTCACACGAACCACCATTTTATGGTTCGTGAATCTCGTGTTTAATTTTTGCAGAAATTTTAACTTCGGTTTATTGGTTGAAGGACGTTTGTGTGTGTTTCATTTGTCTTTGTCACGTCCATCAGGGGAGCTTCATACCGTGCACTTCTCTCAGAAGCCCACATGTCGGAGCTGGAGAAGAAGGGAGATGAGCAGCTGTTTTTGTCATGTACATCAAGGGAGCTTCATGCTGTGCACTTCTCTCAGGAACCCACATGTCGGAGCTGGAGAAGAAGGGAGATGAGCAGCTGAATCAACTCCTAAGCATGTCTTTGGATGTGGAGAGTCTGTTCTTCCTCGTGCAGAAAGAAGAGGACACTGACACCAAACAAGTGCACTTCTACCTTTTCAAGGTATTTGTTCCGGTCCGAAGACCTTGCCGTGGGGTGTATTCGCAGCGCACCAAGACACTTGTATTCTACGTAGCGTCACGTAGAATCTTTTCTGGATGTGTTTGCGGCTTGACAGGTCTTCTGTAATCGCCCTCGTTACTTTTGCGACAACTACTGCGTATGCGAAATACTTGTATTTACGTTCGCACGTACTACACGTGTTACTAACAACGGAGGTTGCAAATGGTGCTGTTTGTTGTAACGTATAGCACACCCTTTCTTGTCCGCCGTCGATTATGGGCGCTCAGAGAGGCTTTTTATGAATGAACCTGTTGCACCATTCATGCATCACTTCGAGCAAGAAGCGGAAAACGGTTCTGTGCGACAAAGATTGTACGTGACGTCACATAGAATCTGTTGTCTGGGTCGCGGCGAACACTGCCACCCAAAGGCGAAACGGCTTTGGCGCCATCGCGTTAATTATTCAAGCGAGAAGTTTTTTAGTTTCATCGAATTAAACGTGATAAGATGCCCTGGAAAACACATAAGGCATATTTGGGGTTCAAATTTTCCGAATGTTTAGCATTTAAGAACAGGACACAGTTTTCCAAGCTGCATCAAGTGACATAAGCAACTCTATTTCCGTAGAAATGGCACTAAGGCCTTTTTATGTTTGGACGGCAAAACACCAAAAGGTGCAGAGTGCATGGGGTATAACATCATGAGTGACATAAACGGTAAGATTCGTCGACGTTTGGATCGTTGGGAACACATGATGTGATGTGAAAATGCAATGAAGCCATGATGTGAAAATAAATTCTAGAGTGTTTGCCAATACGACTAACATATGGCCACCCTTTGTCCGTGGTCATTGCCGTGCAATCTTGAGAGAAAGTAGTTATGGCTTCTTAAAACCCGTGGCTACATAAACGAACGCGAAACAACTGAGGCAGTCTCAATGACTGAAGGTTCAAAAGACGATTGCATCATCCACAGCCTGAGGTATCTTCAGTGACGATCCTGCTGAGTGCTGCTTTGACCGACGTGCGCCGCCTCCTACCTCACGCCCCCTCCCCTCCCTCCCGCCG